TTCCCCTTTGGAATATTTGTTTCAAGCAAGTGTATGGTTTAAGTACATTAACGCGTCGATCTACAGTTGTACAAACGCTGTAACACGTCCAGGAACTCTGCTGCTCAAGTGTCGATCGATCGTAGTTCTAGAATGCATGTAGTGATAAATATGTAAATGTGTGCGTGCTCTAAAAGTGTCCATCTGCAGTAGTAGTGATAGTACCAATGCCGTGACCTTGAATTGTGTGTGGTTGTATGTGCAGGAATGTGAGTATGTAGGAGCAGCCACTCAAACAATTTTTCCAAAAGAATACTTGACATTCGTTCGATAAGTAAAGTATTCGTTCGAAAAGTAAAGTATTGGTTCGTTAACCTTGTAGAATATTCGTTGCAACTATGACTTTTTGGCGGAATTTTGCAGGCTTCTATATGGGGCAGGCATCTATACAAGACAGGTATTTCTATGTATGTCAACACTAAAACCAGGCTTAATGTCACCACTAAAACAAGGCTTGTGTGCCGACAGTGTATCTTGAAAATCAGGCTTCTATTCAAACAGCCTTCTATTCAAACAGCCTTCTATTCAAACAGCCTTCTATATGAGAAAACGTTGTAAAAATAACGGAACTGGTTCGGATGTGATGTGCAGCGCTATGGGAATGGGTGTGTCCACCAGAATTCTTTTCACAGATGAAGCTGCAGGAAGCCTCAGCCCTTCTTCAAATATATGAGAAAAGCTTCAATAAAAGATACTACAGTCAACTTCGCCAATAACGACATTCGGCGGGGCATCAGAAAAATGTCCTTATTCGCGAAGTGTCCTTATAACCGAAGTCCCATTTGAATGTATGTGAACCCATATTTTGTATAGTATGATATGCATATCAAAATCAAGCTCTTTTCTTGCTCTATGTCAATGTGTACTTTATTTTCATATTGCAGTTGAAAGGAACTAAAAATTCAATATGCAAGGGAAATCAATTGAAAAATATGCCTTTTTGAGCCATCTACAGGGCCAGAGATATGTACATGTATGAAAATTTACTGTACAATCATGTACAACTACATGTACATTGTATACATATACATGTAGGTGTGCTGGTAAATCCAACAATTTTGATAAAAAAAGGAAGAAAAAGCCCCCCCCCCCCCCTTGGCTGCATTTTCTTGCATGTGTGCAATAATATCCATCACCGGTACCAGTGCACCATAGGTTCTGGTACTTCTGCATGACAGGTACATGTACTTGACTGACAGGTACTTGAAATAGCTGTCAAAAGCCCAGAAAGTCGTTATTCAAGCAGTGAATATGACCACGGGGCACTAAAAGCATGTCGCTATACGCGAATTGTCGTTATTCAGATAGTCGTTATATCCGAAGTCAAATGTATACAGTTAGATGGGACTTTGCTCTGGGCATGGAAATTCGGTCGTTATTCGCGAATTGTCGTTATATCCGCAGTCGTTATTAGCGAAGTTGACTGTACACGGTACCGCCGCGATTTCCCCGATTGAAAGGCGCACTCGATTATAAGTCACACCCCCATTTTGAGGTTTGAACCACATTGATTCCATACATGCATGTAAGTAGGATGTCACTCTCGATTGTAAGTCACATTCCCTTATTTACAAAAAAAAGAGAAGAAATACATGAGAACGAGGTCCACTGGTCTATCCATTGCTTTAGTCTGCGCTGCAATTGCGATGGGCAGATGTACGATAGAAGCGCTAAATTGTTGCGTCTGCGTCGCCTATTTGTATAATTGCCATCAATGGATGTTCTATAACAAAGAAAAGGACCAAGGAGCTACAAATAACACTATAATGTCCACTGACACCACCAGTTGCTGGACAATTAGCTCATGGGATAGTATTGCACGGCACTGACCGGCGGTACTGACGTTCTTCAACTATCTGGCTACCAGCTCTGCATGTATCTCTAGACAGTATAGGGTAAAGTGTAGTTCCTTGATCCTTTCCTTCGCTATAAATTTATCCTTGGCTTTCCATCCGAGTCAATGATTGTTCTGATTGAAAATAAAATGAACTAATATTCGCGGGATCTGCGTTGGCATCACTCGAGTGTTCAGAAACGCACAAACTATAGCCGTCGCATCCGCAGGCCACCACTACGCCTGTTCACCTTACAGGCGAATGCACAGCAATCTTTCATGAAAAAGTGCTCTGGAATAGATCTGGAAATCTGATGTGTTTCTCTGCAAATCATGGGGTCTGGACCTACCCAGGGTACGCAAACCGTGCAATTTTCTTTTCTTTTTTTATATTAGGAACTCAGATGGTGAGGCTAGGAAAAATTGTAACTTGGAAAAATGTGGGCACAAGTTAGGCGATCGAGTCCACCAACGAAACCGGATTGTGCACGTCTGACTGTTCAAAAATCTGGTTTCATTGACCCTAACAGGCCATCCCCATATTCTCGCCTGCCATACACGACTCATACATGACTCATACACGACTCGTACTCGACTCATACACGGCTCATACACGACTCATACACGACTCATACACGACTCATACACGACTCATACTCGACTCATACTCGACTCATACTCGACTCATACACGGCTCATACACGGCTCATACACGGCTCATACACGGCTCATACACGACTCATACACGATTCATACACGACTCGTACACGACTCGTGCACGACTCGTACACGACTCGTACACGACTCGTACACGACTCGTACACGACTCGTACACGACTCGTACACGACTCATACACGATTCATACAGCCTTCATGCAAGACTCTTGCAAGACTCATGGAAAGGTAGTCCATGTAACATGCAGATACATGTACTTGAAAAGTACGAGACATGCGAGAAGAGAAAAACTGTAAATAACTGCCCGTTTTGGGGTTTCAACCTAGGAATCTATATCCACATTTAGCTCCACAAAATATAATACTCTTAACCGTGAAAAATATACGTTCTACCAAATAATGCAACTCCACATTGGTTTGCATGATTTACGGTTTTTCTTCTTTGTACAGCATCATTCGTCTGCGTGGCAATCCGCTGTATCAAGATCATCGCCTGTGCTCCGCTCTCTACTATCCCGAAGAGAGGTTTGATTTTGAACTTAACTACGCCGTGAAGCAAAATTACTTTCAGTGGCACACCGGTGAGAGACTGTTGTCTTGACAACGAGCTGAGTGGTTTTTTTATTTTATTTTCGCAGATCCTAGGTGCGCTTGATTGGTGCGATTCGGCACAGGATCGCTTGGGAATATGGGTGCAGTGAGTCTGTATTTGGTTGGCAGGGGTGTCAATGGGCAATACTGAGTGATGCGATGGGAGGGGGGGGGTGCGGTATGTCCTAGCAAAAAAATGGATTTCTCAGCCAACAGGGCACGTTTTTAGCGCTCTGCAGGCGCTCTGGATTGACCATCATGGACGACAATTGGCACGACCATGGTCGCACTGGTCGTACCCTGTGTAATGCCCCCTGATTGGTCTGCAGTGGTGTTGCAATGTTTGATTGGTCAGCAGGGGGTCGATTCACATGGCTTCGCCAGTTTTGTGGATTAGACAGTTATCTGGCGCTTGTCTTGGTCTGTTTCATTCAGAATCAGATCCGCTATCGTTGCTATAAAGAGAGAATCTGTTGGTGCATATCCGGTGAATTTGCAGATTTGCGCGCTTCTCTTGCGACGGGCGTACACATGGTACACATGGTGTGTATGTGTGTTGTGTGTGTGTGTGCGTGCATGTGTGTGTGTGTGTGTGTGCGTGCATGTGTGTGTGTGTGTGTGTGTGTGTGTGTGTGTGTGTGCGTGCATGTGCTTGTGCGTGCGTGCGTGTTACTATACACTCTAGTCAATGACCTGTGCGGAAGACCCTGCAACACGTTCAGAACGACCTACATGAACATCTGCCCGAATGCATTCTGCACTGGAACAGTGGCTGCTTTCCAGTGCCATGTCGGAACTTGGGGTACGTACAAGCATGCCTGTACATGTCTGCCGTCGTTAGTAGATAACCCCAGGGCTTTCAAATTGTTTTTCTTTTACTGTAAACAAGTATTATTTCTACTATCCGGATGTGAATGTACGCTTTCAGGCGCCACGTGATTTTTCAGGCGTCAGAGGATTTGTATGAAATAGAAATAGAGAGGAAAAGGACATATGGAAACGAGTTAAGAGTAACTCTCCACCACTGTAACTAGATACTATATACAGTCAGAAAGTGCAACAACTGGGCACAAAACTGACAGAGTACTGAGACATTCGACGTCCTGACACCTAGCTTCAACACATCTCCGTAGCGCTAACCGACAGCCTTCCAACTTGGAAGGTTCAAGGTTATGGGAAGACCAAAGAGGGGAAGGCAAGCGCAACGAAAACGAGCACAAGCTACAGTCCCAACGGAACAAAGAATGTCGATTGTCACTGGACGATGACGAGACCAGTAGGCGATTTGACAAAGCGGTCTAACTACAATTCGAAGCAGCAAAGCAGCACACCACCCAACTTGGGTGGGTCAAACTGCATAGTATCTAGTTACAGTGGTGGCGAGTTACTCTTAACTCGTTTCCATATGTCCTTTTCCTTCCTACTTTTATTATTTGCTCAATACCCTAGTTAGAAATAGAGAGTGAGGTATTTGAGGAGAAAAGTCAGTTTGTCGATTAGAGACCAAGCCAAAAGATCAAAATGCACATGTCTGACGAATGAGTCAAGACAAAGAAAGCCTGTCACAATATTAATATTGTTGTCTACTCTCTGATGAGGTTTGTCACGCTTGTAACCAATGGGGTACTAACCAATGGGGTACTAACCAGGGTACTAACCAGGGTACTAACCAGGGTACTACTGTAACTGGTACCTGTATATTGTACAGTAAAAGCAAGAGTACATAACCCCCCAGAGTGTGCAGGAGTACATATTCAACCCCCAAGAGTACATATTTAACCCCCCAAGAGTACATATTTTACCCCCAGAGTGTGCAACGCCTGATCCAGCTCTGCATAGGGTCTTGGTCGAGCAGAATCGGACTTTTGCGTCATAACACCGTACACATCTGAGGGGAACCCGCGGAGTCGCGGGTACTCTTGGATCAAAAACAATGGTGCCCTGCCTCGAGACCGGCCTTGCGCTGGTGTGAAGTGTACGCATGACATCAGAAGATCCGATTACGGTCGACCAAGACCCTATGCAGAGCTGGATCGGCGTTGCACACTCTGGGGGGTTATGTACTCTTGGTAAAACCTGTCAAGGCGACCACTCGGATAAGGTGACCACCTGTCCTAGAAGACCACTGAAACCAGGACCAAGGGATGCTGTTTCCAGTCAAATGACCCTGGTTAAGGAGACCACCTGGTAACAGAGACCACACTTTGAAGGTCCCTTGAGCGGTCGTCTTACACAGATTTTACTGTATCTGGAATCCCAGCCAAGGTCCACACCAGTCCTCCTATTTCCTGAGTTGTGACCGTCTTTAGTGATCCTTCTTACTCGCTTTCTCTCTGTCTTCTGCTGTCACTCGCTTCTTCCACCTGTCCCATGCACTCACTCACTCCCTCACACACTCACACCATCATACACGACCTACGGCTGCGTACTGTCGTGGACATGGAAATCCGGTCGCACGTCTAGCGGCCCCCGGGCGCTGGCCATGCAGCCGTGGATAAGCGGTGCACACACATGGATGTTTATGCGCTGCATGCATGCAGCACGCTGACTGCATCGCCGCCATCGGATCAACATATTCACTGCATGCAGCGGTCTGTACGCGCTGAGGGCGCCGGCCCCGGTCAACCGACTGCATTTCCATGTCCGCTACAGTAGTTGCGATATCTGTAATGCAATGGAGGGATCCCTGAAAAACATGTCGGGCATATGAACATGTCAGGCATATGAAACAGGATTTTCGTCACTGATGTCCATTTCCGCTTAAGTACCCCATTTGACCGGACCTCTTGAAATCCCGATGCCATGGACCCTGCCAGAGAGTGGCACCAGTAAATTCGGGAAAAAAAGGTTTGCCTGGAGACTGTGACCCGGGTATCGATCCCGGTACCTCTCCCATGCTAAGCGAGCGCTCAACCGTGTGACCTATTCCCCCCATCCTATGTCCAGTTGTGGCATTGAAGCCGAGACCTTTGGTCGGTGGAGCCCCTGGTACCTCACCATCACTGCTGCCCAGTGCAGCCCCTGCTCAGTAGCTGTTTGCTTTTGTCCACATAATTATTTATTTTACGAGTTGGGTTTGTGAATAATAGTAAAAAAAGAAAAGAAAGGTTGATGGCACATGTGTGTACATGTTGTTGGCTTGACAGCATGTAACAAGGTGGAGACCACCGTGTTCGGAAACAGTGACCTTACTACAACCAGTTACGGTTGGTAGAGCCCCGGTCGGCTCCACCTTGTTGCATGCTGTCAACCAACAACATCTGTCTACTTGACAAGGTTTATCTGATACCATGTGTGTACACGTGCAATATAATTATGGTAGTTCATTCACTCTTTTTGTATATTATTATTTACATGCGAGACTATTGCCTTTTTATATAATTATTTACATGCGAGACCATTGCCTTTGTATAAAAGGGCAATGGTTTTGCATGTAAATACATGCGAAACCATTGCCCTTTTGTACACTATATCTGGGTCAGAATCATTATGTTCTTTCTGCTCTCTTCACCGTCTTCTTGTCGTGTTTGTGCCGCCGCCACCTCCTCTGCTGCTGCTGTAGCACCAGCTACAGCGGAACTAACGTGTGACGAGACCTCTTCTATACTGACCATGTTCAGCAGCAAGGAGGTTACCCCGGCAGGCGCGGCGGCATTGTGCACGCTTAATTTCGGGCGCAACGGTCACCTGCCGACGCCCGCGGACTTTGCGCACGGCTGCGTGACCAGGACGGTGGCCAAGGCGCGCGCCCGGTTCGGCCTCGCCTACGATCCCGTCGTCTGGCTCGGCCAGAAGAGCCTGGAGACCTATTACGCCAGCGACCGGTACACATACCGGCCCACGCGCAAGCTCTACTTCATGTGCTCACGACCTTCCTCCGTAAGTGCTGTCAACTTCTTCCTAGGAGCTTCCCGTATTGTATTGTATTGTATTGTATTGTATTGTATTGTATTGTATTGTATTGTATTGTATTGTATTCCTATTGTAGTGGACGGTGTTGTTTTACATGGAAACAAGGAAAACGGCGGAGCACAAGTTATGCGCTAGAGTCCGCTAGAGTGCACCAGATATACAGGTCCTCCCTCGTTAGTAGATAATCTCTGGGCCATCGAAAAAGTGATCTTATAACGAGACTTATCTTGTAGCAGGACTTGCAGCTAAAGGTGAAATAGGCACCACTTCGTTCTTACAGGGGCTACCCTCGATACAACATAAATTATCGATGCTTCAACTCGTTATAAGATAATTGAAAATCTCCAACATAACTCTTCCTTGGATTCAAAGGATCGTCCATACTCACGAATACATAGACATCATACGTTTCCTCGTTCTGCTTCATCCTACATGTTTTGGCCTTGGTCCTGCATGGTTAATATTATCTTATACTGAGGGTTTGGCACTCCAGGGACCTGGGCAAAGGGTTGTTATAACGGATTTTATGTACTAACGGATTATGTTGTAACCGGACCTGTAAACAGTTGTATAGACCACGTTTCGCCAGGGGATTTCAGATTTCTATTTCCTAACGGGGTTTATGTACTAACCGGACTCGTTATAATGAGGGAGGACCTGTACCAGGTTCACGAACAGTCGGACATATCCTGGTATGCACAAGATAGCACCAGACAAGATAGCACCAGCCTAACTAGTGCCCCGCCGTTTTCCTTGCTTCCATTTTAATATGTTCCTTCGCTCGTCATCTGAGTACCCATCGTATTGCTTACTGACGGATTCTCCAGAGGTAAATGGATTACATATCATAATTATGGGAGTCTCTCCAAACCAATAGAATAATGAAAATAGAAGTATGTAGGGAGTGGATGAAACTCAAATAAAATCTGAGACGTGTGAAGACCATAGGTCTGTGGGAAACACTCTAGTCAGATAATTTAAAGGTGCAGTCAAACCTGTCTAAGACGACCGCTCAAGGGACCTTCAAAACACGGTCTCTGCTGCCAGGTGGTCTCCTTTTCCAGGGTCATTTAGACTGGAAATAGCATCCCTTGGTGCTGGTTGCAGTGGTCTTCTGGGACAGGTGGTCGCCTTATCCGAGTGGTCGCCATGGCCGGTTTTACTGTATATCCTATAATCAAATGTTTCACCAGTTGTAGCAAGAGTACATAACCCCCCAGAGTGTGCAACTCCCATATACCCTGCTGTCCCGACAGAATTTCAGGTTGACGTCATTATTTATCATGCAATGCTCCTTGCACCAGTGATTTACAACATGTGTACGGGTGTCAACGCATCACACGTTTTTCTTTGCAATAATTTGTACAGGATCAGATCGGCTTGGGTCAACCGCAGGTTCCGGATTCGTCTGATAATCATTGTACAGTGTGCATTGCATCATCAAAACGACGTCAACTTGAAATTCTGTTGGGACAGCACCCATAGTCGAGTTGCACACTCGGGGGGGTTATGTACTCTTGGTTGTAGTCTTCGGGGTGCTGAGTCGAATGCTCTTCGTCCGAGGAAGCTGAGACTCTCCCTTCCTCCTTTATTCCCAAATCGAACTCGCACATTTCCACCGAGACTGGGTGACTGCCACCTACTAGATGTACATGTGGATTTGTATGCAAAAAGTCACTAAAAGCGCAATTTCGTTCTTATAAAAGCACGGATGACGGCGGTTGGTCCATTGTTGTAGTCTTTTGGACGCGGAGTCGACTGGTTTTGGTCCGAAAAGGCTGCGATGCAGCGCTCAGTCCGTATTCCCAATTGAACACGGGTGAGCAAGCGGTCACGTGCTCATGCTTACATCAGTCGCCTGGTCACCGTGCCTGCAGGCTACAACCTTCACACCAAGGTTCACCTCAAAGGTTCAAAGGTTCAACTCGAGCGACAAAAACAGGAATAGTTTAGTAGAATTGTAACACAAACACCACGAAGACAGGGTTCCTCCACGTTCCCCCTTTGCCCCCATGCTGGCTACCCGCCTGATCTTAGTATTCTCCGCGACAGGTTTATTTTATTTTATTTTTAGGTACCCACACTGTAGCTATTCATGTTCTGCGTTCTCTGGTTGTTGTTTGCAGGGCTGAGGATCGGCCGACATCGGGAACAGCACGCGGATGAGCGTCACGGGCACTGCAGGCAAGCATGACCTTGCTGAGAAGCAATGTAAGAGGAACAGGAGGCGTGCAGGTGAGAATCGCCTCGGTCGGTCGTCACCTGGCAGACGAAGAAGCTAGACGCACCTCATTCCTCTTTTAACTGCCATCTCTCTCTCTCTCTCTCTCCCCCCCCCCCCCCCCCCCCCCCTCTGTCTCTCTCAGATTTTTTTCCATTCAATGCACGTAATTGTTTTTAGTATTTGCTGTTATGGCCCAGAGCTCTCATTGCTATCACCATGACAACTATACACTAAAGCAATCTCTCATTGCTATCACCATGACAACTGTACACTAAGCAATCTCTCATCACAATGCTGTCTATTTTCACTTGTCTGGTCTACACGCAATGAGTCTGCTTCACATGCCTTCACACTCACACTCCCTTTTGCCGTTTTACACTCCCTTTTGCCGTTCTTCTTCACAACCTGCATCATGGTCGCATTCCCCTTTCTTTTCACTTCTCTCGACCCCGTTTACGCACCAAAGCGTGTCTTCCCGGTCACTGAAAAAAAAGCAATGTGTACGTAACAGTGTGTGTGTGTGTGCTCTTTGCTCGACGAAAAAATAATTTCGCACGGATTTCGATGTGGCGGGCCGCAATGGCCAAAATGTTGCACCTATGTTAATCACGGAGCCAGATTCAGCAGAGCAACTGCACGCGCACGCATGCACAACCGCACACACTTAATAGACATACAGCCACACGCATGCCAATCGTTGAAGTGATAATGGCAGAAAAGTAGGT